CCCTCCCTATTTTTTTCCTTCGGAAAATTTTCGAGTAAATAAAATCTCACAGAATTGTTGTTTATAATTAATTCCAGACGAATCCCATATATATATATTTCCCGACACAAACGTCATCAATTAAACTGGAGTGGGGGAAAGGGAAAGAGGGGAAAGAGGGGGGAAAGAAAAAGAAAAAAATAATTGTGACAAGGAAAATACTATTAAGGTTGGAAAATTTCATTTTACACATTTTTTCTTTCTTTTTCTCAAAACGACGACTTGTTAAGTGTTATTATCGTTATTATTATTATTATTATTTTTTTTTTTTTTTTCTTAAACGAACCGCGATCGTTATCGTTTTCCACTCTGATAAATGACCTGTCATTTTTTCCCTAGAAAAAGAAAAGGAGAGAAAAAAAATCTTTTTTTTCTCTCCTTTTCTTTTTAATAATTTGGCATTATAAATTAAGTTTCGTAAATGATGATGATGATGATGATGGGAATGATAATAATAATAATAATTTTTAAAAGTTTACCTTAAATCCAGTCAGTCGAGAGATCATTTTAAGTTCGTTTTTTCTTTTTCTCTGGACTTTCTTAAGACTTTTTTATTTGACGATTCAAAACTGGAAAAAATAGAAAAAAGTTTATAAATCTCGAAAGTATAAAAATTAAAAAGTTTTTTATTAAAAATAAATAAATAAATAAATAAAAAACGTCTAAAATGATGATGATGATGAAAAAAGGGGGGAAAATGTCGGATTTATTATTATTATTATTAATACCATCGGAAAAAAATTATTTATTAAAAAGTTAAATTTATTAATAATCGCGAAATAATAATGAGACGACGTTGGAAAAATTTTTTTAATAATAATAATAATTTTACAATACAACACGTTGTTATTTTTCGTGAAAATGAATTTTCTTCTTTTTCTTCTTCTTCTCTGGAAAACCTGTCCGAAAAGAAAATATCGTTTACATTTTTCTTTTTTCAGTTTATTTGTGCATTCAAAAAAAAAAAAAAGCCATTTTTCTATTTTTCTTTTTTTCACGCTTGAATCATTTGAAAAAGGAAGAAAAAGGAAAAAAAAGGAAAAAAAAAAGTAATTTCTCATTCCCGAACTCTTGAACAATAACAATAACAATAACAACAACAACAACGACACGAGGTTTCGACGTCATCGTCGACGTCATCGACGTCGTCGTCGTCGTGGTTGTTGTCATTGTCGTCGTCGTCGTCTCCGTCGTCAAAATGACAATTTACACGTTTTTTTTTTTTTTTTTTATCGAAACGATTTTCTTTTCACCACACACTTGTAGCTTTTTTTTTTTTTTTTTTTTGTTACCTTTCTTACATTTCTAAAAACATTTTCGAAAAGAAAATTGAAGACGACTCGACCACGTAAAAAAAAAAAAAAAAAAAAAAAATTTCATTTGACTTTTTTTTCATAAAACCAAAAGGTAAACGTAACAAAAGATGACGTCGACGTCGACGACGATGACGATGACGACAACGACAACAACAAAAACAATTTTAATTCTCTAAACTTTTTATATGTTTTCCTTTTTTTTATTCTTTAAAAGAAAAATTAAAAAACGTTTCGTTCGTTAAACACGGACAGACAATGATGATAATAATAATAATAATAATAAAACCGTCTTTTTTTTTATCGGGTAAGGAAAAAAGTTAATTCGTTGTCATAGAGTAATTAAATATATATATATATATATATATATATAAATTTTTCACGTTTCGACGACGACGACGACGACAACGGTTTTTTCATTCGATTAATCGAAATCGTTTTCGACGATTAATCTCGAAAATTTAACCGCGTTTGTTTTCTTTCTTTTTCTAGTAAATAATAGACGAATTGTGATTTTTTTTTATATATATAAAAAAAAAATCTCGAGAGAATTTCTTTTTTTTTATTTTTAACTTTTGTTCTCAAAGGTAAATTTGAGATTTTGAGTTTATATACATATATATTTTTAATTATTCGTAAACAAACGCCATTTTATATATATATATTTAAACCCTCGAGGTATTTCTCTCTCTCTTTCTCTCTCTCTCTCTCTCTTTCTCTCTCTCTCTCTGCTTTTGATTATTACTTTTAACGTACGTAATCTTTTACGTACATTAATGTAAAATAAAAGAAAAACGTACGTTAAAGACATGGAAAACCCCGGAAGAAATAAATTTTCAAAACGAAAAAAAAAAAACAAAAAAAACAAAAGTTTTGTAATTTGTATATAACGACGGTTACAAAAAAAAAAAAAAATGAAATCAAAAAAGGAAAAAAAAAAAAATATGGAAAAAATCGTAATTTTTCCTTTTTTTCCTTTTTTTTTGATCTTTTTTTTTTTTTTTTTCAACCGTTAAAAACGAGATAGGCTTTCGGCAATGGAAAATGATATATAAAAAATTTAATGGGGGGAGAAAGGGAGTAGGGGTAGGGGGTGGGAAAATCCACGCGAATAATTTTTTTTTTTTTGATCAATTTGAATTTCAATA